ATTTACTTAATTGTTTAGGCTGCCTACCTAGGCTTAAGGAGAATTATTATAATGGGAATCACCGAGAAGGTTCTCAAGAAAATGATCATAATTAGTTTTAAAAAAAGTTATATAGCTACATTCACTGGTCATCTCCACGCGAGGTCTCTGCTAGCAAAAGGTAACATCCACTGCTTCAAACTAAAAAGAGCAGAATTATGGGGTGTAGAATTAGCGGGTGTAGGGAGTCTTTATCTGTCTTGCTGTCCAGCTTCCAAATCATGACATGCAGACTAAGTAAAGCATGGCCCATAGCGTAGGCTTGTTTCTAACAAGCTCTTATAACTTAGATTCACCCACTTCTATTAATTTATGTGCTGCCACATGGCTCATGGCTTGTCACCTCATCTCCCACATGTCATACTTCCTCTGTGTCTCCTCACGACTCTGCCTTCTTCTTCCTCCCAGCATCCTCTATGCCCTGAAAATCCTGCCTAGCCATTGGCTGTTGAGTTCTTTTTTTTTTCTAATTAAACCAATCCGAGTGACACATCTTCACAATGTACAAAAAGATTATTCCACAGCAAAGGGGAGTTTTAATGACCAGAGAAACTTAAAAAAAGGTACTTATGATAATACGATCAAATGGTCAGTCCTGAAAAATTACATAAATTAACTTTATACAGACTGGGCAAGTTATATCAGGGAATATATATGTAAATATATATATATATTTATATACACACACATATATGCATGTAACCACAATTCATAAAAACAGAGACCAAGAATTTGAAAGCATTTGAATTCCTTAGCATGGAATGAGGGTCTAGAAGAAGGAAGGAGAAAGGGGGCGAGAAGAAGGGAAATGGGAAGAAAGGGAAGGGGGAAATAAAAAACACAATCAAAAAATTAAAACAGAAATAAATAAATTGGGGAAAGTGTTTTTAAAAATGGGCAAGGGGTGTGACTCAGCTGTAGCACTTTTTGCTAAAAGGTTCAGGGCTCTGGATCCCATTGTACTGTAGAAACAAGCAAATCAACAAATAAATAAAACAAAAAAAATCCACTACATCCAGGATCAAATCAACTTAAAAAATAAAATAAAGCAATAATCTTGGCTATTATTATTATTTCATTTAAAAGGGATGTGTCCCATTATGCAGGCCTAGGCCAGCCCCAAACCCCTAGTCTCAAGCCATCCTCCTGACAGCCTCCTGAGTGCCACAGTAAAGAGGCTTGCCTTGTGCCGGACCACCTAGCCTGTGACATTACGGTCTTAGTTGGGAATGAGAGTCAGACCACAGTCAGTCACAGCTGGTTATTAGCTATCTCCTTAGGCTTTGATAAGACAGCGTTCATACAGAGATGGGGAGATGTGATTTATAGCTCGTCTGTGTCTCTTACAACTAAATCTCGTGTTCCACCATGTGTGAGTGGGTATGTGGGACTGCAAATACTCTTATGTTTATAGGTTTTAAAAAAAGAGAGAGAGAAAAGAAAACCAACCCTCCGATGTAGCCCAAGTGTGTTTAAGGGCCTGGGTGCCTCACAATGGTTTTAGCAGCAGGAAGGCACCCCTGCTGAGGTCCTGCACAGGCCTGGCCTGTACTCTGTTGCTCTTCAAATCCTTGGGAAGACGCCAATAATCTCTATTTTATGTCCTAATTACACAACCACTTATCCACTTGGCAACTTGAAGAAAACAAAAGTTTAAAAGGTAGAATATTTAACCACAGTGTACTTTAGAACAAAATCCAAAGCAGGAAAAAAAAAAAACAACCTAAAAATTAAAAGCTTAGGCAGTCTTGCAAATAAAGCAGAAAAACATCCATAAGTCAGCATCATTTTTTTCTCCTTTCCCTTTCTTTTTCTTTTTTTCTTTTTTTGGTTTTTCCAGACAGGGTTTCTCTGTGTAGCCCAGGTTGTCCTAGAACTCACTCTATAGACCAGGCTGACCTCTAACTCAGAGATTCACCTGCCTCTGCCTGGGATTAAAGGCATGTGCCACCACTATTCAGTGACAGCATTCCCTGAAATGAAATAGCCTACCCTCATGGTAAACTACATAAATCAAAATGGCAAAAATCATTGCTTTGTTAGTTCCACAGCCAAGCACGTGCAACATTAAAACAGAATAAAGCTAAGATCTGTTTTGACAAAGGCCAGACCTTCCCAACAGAGGCCAGAAGGGATATAAAAAGCTTCTAGACAAAGGAAGAGAAAATTTGGGGACCATTAAAATTGTTACTTGCAAATAAGTAATGTCTAGAAGTTTTACATCCGTCTTTGGAGCTAAGAACTACTTACCCCATGGCCCAACTTATCAGTAAGTCCTCTAAGCAAAATCACAAGTTTTACCTATGGACATACGCTTCGTGTGTAGAAAAGCTAGCAAGTTCGCTAACTGAAAATTCATAGCTCCCTGCCCTGTTGACTGACAGCACCTCTTTATGACTTGTCACCAGCTCATGTATTTCTTCAAGATGATCCAGACAAAGATTTGGAGAGCTGGGTCACTCGAGCCCAATTACCCACGTCTACCCCAACCTCATCTGCCAATTATGACTTTGGTTCCTTTTTGTTCAATTCTCCATTGTCAGAGAATTGACTCTCCAATGACTTGTCTGTCATTTCTTAACAAAATTCTCCGCATTTTCATCATTTAAATGGGTTCTCAAGCCACTGTTGACATTCTTTTGTTACATTTAAGTTGTTGTACTATCTGAAATAATCTATTAGCTCACACAGGAGGTCACTGTGTAATACTTGGACGTTTTCATTGCAATGGTATGTGTCATGATGATGATGTTTGGGCATTATTCTCAACTTTAAAAATTGATTTAATTATTTATTTGTGTGTGTGTGTGTGCAGGTAACTGTGATGAAAGAAGGATACTGGATTCCCTAGAGTTAGAGTTGCAGGTGGATCTAGGCTGTCAAGTATGAGTACTGGAAACTAAACTTCGGTCTTCTGACGAGCAGTAAGCACTACTGACTGACCACCAAGCCACCTCTCCAGCCCCATTTCATAATCACTTTTAATAATAGCTTACTCTACTTCAGAAAAGCCTGGCAGGTTGCTTATACAAATATATACAAAATTATTGAAGAAAGAAAATATTGCACAAAGGAGAAACTAAACTAGGGACATTAAGATGAAACTAAGAGAGGACGGGACTTAAAGCCTGTGCTGTCAGTCCAACACAGGAATTACTTCTACCATTGCTTGGAAGGTTCTGAACTACTGGCCCAATATGGTCCACAGTCTGCTTCGGTGGATAAAGTCGTATGGTAACACAACTACAGCTTTTCATTTACATATTATGCATATGCATGACCACGTTCACATTACAGTGACAGAGCTAAGTAGCTGTAGCAGAGACCATATGGCCCACAATGCCTAAAACTTTTACTATGTGACTCTTTTCAGAACAAGGTGCAGATAACCAGGATATATAATTCTCTACCTTGGAGACAGACACAAACCCATTTCTTAGACTAAGTATGGTCTTTGTAGAACAAGAGCCATCTCCCCAGCTTTCAAAATTCTTTTCAAGCTTAATAACCAAACAAACAAAAATGAATTGGTTTATCAGAAGCCTGTGGTAATCTCTGACTCATATACTTAGTGGGAAAGGCCCTACTAGAAGAGATGGTCCACGGGGAACTAGAATTACAGCCCAAAGGGCTTGTGCTACAGGAAGGTCCAAGTATCAGAGATGGAGGAGGGCAGGGCAAGAAAGAGGTCCACCAAGCACATATTCCCATGAAAGCTGCCTCTCTCTCTCAGATTCAATATAAATATAACAGTGACTTTCACAGGGCCAGCAACACAATGATGTTTGTCAGTACAAGTCAGTAAGTCTAAAACCAACAACACAGTTCAGGTTATAGAAAATGAAGACAAACACTGTAACAGGTGACCCATAAGAAACTACAATTCAGCTCACTCTTAGAAAGGGATGGAAGAAGATACTCTGGTCTTCCCCATATCCACTTTCTCATGGTTAAAATGCTACACCATGAACTGATTTGTGTGTCTAGAGGGACAGAAATTTAGATTACCTAAAGAAGTCTTTAATATGAAAATTGAGCCGGGGGATGGTGGTGGTGGCAGCACATGCCTTTAATTCCAGCACTCCAGAGGCAGAGGCCAATCTGATCTACAGTTAGTTCTAGAACAGCCAAGGCTACACAAAGAAACCATATCTCAAAAAAAATGCAAATTGAAAAGAATTACATCTATTAGCATTTATTACTCTAGAAATTGCTACCTAATCAAGACCTGACTCCTCCCTGTTATCAACAATCAGGAAAGTCAGAACCTTATCTGCCCAATGATCCGACAGGTCTTTCCAGAAGCACAAAACCAACCAGTACAATGTCTGCAGAGTCTCCTTCTCTTGTGGGCGTGTGGCTGTCTTCCAGAGAATCGAATACAGGTAAGCAAAACCTACCCATACGTGACCGAGGAGATCATGTGGGAAACAAACATGTCAGAGCCCCTGACTGCTTTCTTCATCCTATTTCAAAAGAGCAAACTACCAAGTCTTGCCACCTAATATGCCAGTACTAAAGCTGACAATTCAAATCCAGGCCACTCACAGTCACATCCAAAAGAATGTTAAAAATGCGGATTTTTTATGGCCTCAAAGTAGAAGAAACAATCTCAAGAAGTCCAGGATAGTCAAGAGCTACACGGACTAGCTCTCTGGGATGCTCTGCTAGATCCAGGACTAGGGTACCCAACGGTGCATTCTGGAGTGCACAGAAACTTCCAGAGAAATCAGCAGCCCCCAGGTCTGCTTGAGTTGATCCCCACATCTCCAAACCATTACACAAACTTCCATTCTCCTCGACACAGGCACTGAACCCCAGTTGGAAGCTTTTTTGTAACCACACAGACTTCAGAGTGTGTGCTTCCCAAGTGCCACCACCCCACAACTAGCCCAGAACCTCTCAGGCAGCAACACTTGGGCTGGTTTTTGTAGGGACTAGTCGTGATGGTTCCTACTTACGTAACGCAAACAGGGTGAGGATGATTCCAGCCAGGCAGAATCCTTCAAAGAACCTGAGTGTGCTGAACATTGTCACATTCACCGACAGTGCCACAGTCAGTCCAAAGATCAGAATGAAAATGATGGAAAACAGCAGCACGGGCCGCCGACCAACCCTGCATGCGAAGAGGGGAAAAGTCAGGCATCCGTGTTAAACAAGACGGCAGCGCTAAGTGCTGAGACCCAGCATCCAGTGAGCGCTCAACATACACTGAAGGGGTAGGAGCTAAACGTCTCCATAGTACCTGTACCCTCTTCACTAGATCATGGCTTACTCCCTTGGGATAGAGGCCTCTTGTGGGATGTTGAGCCACATACATCCTCCTCTAGGACTGAGAGGGTATTGCTCAAATAGCTATGGGAGAGAGAATTATGATGTGGCCCTGGTCACCATTGCTGGGTCTATCTCTGTGTATACACAGGGATAGCTGAAGGCAAGAGAACTTTATATATTGATTTATATAAAATCAATAATAACTCCCCAAACACAAACCTTGACACGCCCCACATAAAATGTCTTGAGAAACTGCTGACCTTTGGAACCGGCCCAAACATCAACATGGACATGGAGGGAAGGTTTCACTTCTGTTCTCCAATTGTTACCTTGGGGAGGTTATCTTGTTTCATAGGCAATCTATAGGTCCAGGGCTGGGCCAGCCGCCATTGGCTTCAGCTACATGGCAACGTGTAATTCTAAGACGACTATAGGGATTGTACACTAAACCTAGACACTGTGGACTGTAAATAAACACTCTGGTGTCTGAGAGTAGAGGCACTGTGGCAAAGGGCAGTGGTATAGTGAGTTCACAAACCACACCCAGAGCTGATCGGTGCGCCATCAGTGACCACTCGGGGACAATGTACTGGGGGCAATCAGAGGGCAGATGGGGTAGTCTCGTGGAACATGAAAAACCACGAGTTCCCTCGTCCCCATACTGGCCATTCACCTTTCTCTACTTTATTACAAGTAAAACTATGGCAACACAGCTGCAGCAAGCAAATTAATATTTAACACAACTGGCTTGGGCTGGAAGGATAGCTCACTGAGAAGGTGGGGGAAAGGGAAGGGAGGAAATGCAGACTGGTGCTCTCAGTACCACAAAGGGTAGCTAAATGGCTTTAGTTGTCCTAGACACTTATGACTTCAAGTCAAAAGCGGGGGTGGGGGAGTGGTGGTAAATTTACAGACAGTAAAATTGTGGCCGCCCGGGGCAGAGTGAGAACAGAGAAAGTTTATGAGCACATTTCGCAATCTCTGCAAGGACAATGGAAGTGATGTAAACTCAGAATGGGCAAAGGATCTAACTCTGTAAACACAATCAAAATCATTGAATTGTGCACATTAAGGGACAAGTTTTAAACATATGCAAATGCTTTCCCACTTAAAGCTCATTTTAAAGATAAAGTACTGCGAGGTCTATTCCGTCTCCCACAATTTTAACTTTTATAACAAGTAATATAAGATATAACATAATATGTAAGAATATAAAAGAAATATATAATCATTTTAAATATAGAATGTAAATATATAAAATACAACATTTATACTATAATATAAATACAAAAACTTTCTAATGGTCCACCCATTTGAATTAGTCTTTTTGATTTGGGGATCTGTAGTCAAAGCTATGAGTTTATAATAATGAAAAGCCTTTGTGTTCGGGCTGGAGTCACAAAGTCCTTACCAGGAAAGATCTGACAGATGCCTTGGTCCGTACCCAACTCGCTTGCAGAAGTACATTTAAAGCATGGCTTACTTTTCCTCTTAATAGGAAGTAGAGTATACAATACCAATCTCTATCATCTATTTTTAATTCCCTGTACCCACCTCACCCATGAATGGGCTCTGTTTCACTTCTTAGAAGAACACGATGGGCCTGGCCTGAATCCCCAAGCTAAAAATTTCAACTTCCAACCTTCCTGCACTTCTGCTGTTGTTTGACATTGTCTTTCTGTGCAGCTCAGTCTGGCTAACCAAGAACTCTGTGTAGCCCAGGTGGACCTCAGATTGGTAGTCCTACCTCCAACCTCCCCAAATCCTCCAGTCTCAGGTGTATGCTATCATGCCCACTTATTCCGGATGCTCAGTCCTGTTTTTTTCCTATTCTAATTTTGTCTTAAAAAAGAGGATTGAGTTTTATTTTTAAATCTTGTAAAACGCATTCCACTTACCTCCCTCCCAAATGATTACTTAAATCAGTAAAACACACCTATCAATCAGTGGGGGCTGTGGCCTCTGAAGTCAGAACAAACACCTTGGTTTTGCATCCAGGCTGGTACCACATCATCCCTGAGCAGTGTGAGAAAGGCCACACTTTCTCCACTGGTGTCTATGGAGTTTGTGTGGAAATGTGCCAGCCACTCAGCGACCATTCGCTACATCACTACATGAGAGTTACAAGCCTCGTATGAGCTGGTTTCCCAGAGTGGGATTACAGCTGACTGACAGCAAAGGCCTTTATCTTCCAGGATCTTCAAAGGTGTAATTATCTGAAGTCTCAGAAACTATTTTTTTTTTCTTTTTTGCTTTTGGGGTAAGAGCGACTCTGAAAATGGGATTACAGCTACGGACCTCCAATTTGGTAATTTTCCAAGGAGAGTAGCATGAAAGAACTTGATTCCATTTTACTGGTTTTAAAGATGGAGGAAGGGGTCATAAACCCAGAACACAAGTGGCTACTAGGGGCTAGAGAAGACAAGGAATTGTCTGTCCCCTGAGCGTCCACAAAGGAGTTCTGCCCTGATGGTGTCCTGGTTTTATCCCGGTGACACCCATGCTGGGCTTATGAACTGTAAGATGATTGATTTGCATTGTAGCTACCAAGCATGTAATAGCTAGTTACAGCAGTCACGGGGAACTGATACTGGGTCTCCAGACAGACATCCCACTCCAATGAAGTGACTAGAGGAGATCTGACTTATTTATTTTGTTGGGGTTTTTTGAGACAGGGTTTCTCTGTGTAACGGTTCTGGCTGTCCTGGAATTAACTCTGTAGACCAGGCTGGCCTTGAACTCACTGAGATCCTCCTGCTTCTGTCTCCCAAGTGCTGAGAATAAAGGCATGTGCCACCACTACCTGGCTTGAAGGAGATTTTAACTCAGGGATTGTTTATAAAAGATGAGACAAGTTGGCAAAGAACCTGTAGGGCAATATCCACTTTGAAGTTTTCTATCAGGGGTGATGGGGACTAGGGGGTGGGACCAGATAGTCATGCAGGTAAGAGAGAGGCACTGTGTATAACGAACCTGGTTGGTATCCCCTGCTGCTTTGCAGAAATGAATGCCTGAGCCATCTCCTCTTTCCTGGGTTCTTCAGCTTATATCTCCCCAACTATGCCTCCATTCTGCCTGTTATCGCTATTACAAACACAGGCCATCCTTCAAGAGACCTGTCCTGAGTGTTTCACATGCAGTTCAACTAACATGTTGAAAATGAAACTAGATTTTCCTTTTAAAAAATATTTTATCGTTTTAAATATTTTTATGTGTATATGAGAGTATGTGTGTGTGAGGTGTGGTGCAGGTGTGTGTGTGTAGTGTATGTGATTTGTTGGGGTTGGAGGTGAACATCAGATATTCTCCTCTCTCATTCTCTACTGTATTCCCTTGTAATAGGGTTCTTGGTTGCCTTGTTTCTATTCTTATTCTAATAGGGTTTCTATTGCTGTAATAAAATATCATGACCAAAGAAACTTGGGGAGGAAAGGGTTTATTGGATGTATGCTTCCCCATCACTGTTCATCATAGAAGGAAGTCAGAACAGGAACTCAAGCAAGGCAGGGACCTGGAGGCCGGAGTTGATTCAAAAGCCATGGAGGAATCCTGCTTACTGGCTTGCTCCTCATGGTTTGCTCAGCCTGCTCTCTTACAGAACCCAGAACACCAGCCCAAGGATGGGACCACTCGTAATGGGAAGGCCCTCCAACAGCAACTAAGAAAATGTCCTACAGGCTTACCTACAGCCAATTCTTTTAGAGGCATTTTCTCAACTGAGGTTCTGTCCTGTCTGATGACTCTAGCTTATGTCAAGTTGACACCAACCTAGCCAGTATACGCCCTTAACCTGGGAATAGGCCAGCAGCCAGCAAGCCTCCCCGCCCAATCCTCCTGCCTCTGTGTCAAAAGTTCTGTGATTAGGGATCATGTGGCCATGCACAGCTTTTTACATGGGTGCTGGGGATTCTCGTGGTTATGTAGCAACTGCTCTTGCTGACCGAGACAAACCCACAGCTCGGAAACTCAAGGAAAGCAGCCTACCACTTAGATGTCTGTCTATGCTGACTGTAATTTTAAAGAGCATACATCGTGACCTGAACAACTTTCTCTCGCAGTCCTGAACCTGACCCTGTTGTAAGATACGGCACTCCCTCAAATGGGGTGATTCCTCTGCTTAAGCAGAGAGTAAAATACAACCCAACCCCCTAGCAGACAGGAGAGGTGGGAAGAACAAAACTTCATTGAAATGAAGGCCACTCAAGCTCCCCCAAAGCTACTACTCTAACAACAAACATCAAATATGCGATGCCTCCTTAGGACATCCCTGCTTGCTTGTCCAGTCTAGCCCCCCACCCCAGAAAGCTACTGCAGAGAACCGGTTTGTGACACCAGATTCTAGGTACTCTGAGCAAGATCTAGACTCTTAAGTCTTCTGTCACCAGGCCAAGGCCTGGACTGTCACCAGAGAGGCTACTGGGTATGCATGTGCAAGAAAAAGCCCGACACAACTTACACTTCTACCGATTCTTTAATAAAACCCTGCATTTCCTGTGGTAGCAAATTGCTTGTGGAACCAGGGCACTACAAGCGCTATCAAGTCTGCATTTCTCAGAAAGGAGGGCCAGAGATCATATTGGTATACATTTCTAATTTCTCTCAGTGAAGTTCCCTGGGAAGCAGTGCCTGCCAGATCAGTACAGCTCATCCTGCAAAGCTAGCAAGCCAAGCATCTGGTCAAATAAAACCTTGCTCTCCGTCCTCAAAAACTAGACAGCTCCTAGCACAGGCCTGCAGAGGTCACTGACAGCTTTAATGCTGAACACAAGAAATGTGCCCATGTGAAGTCCTAGAAACGGCGATTTAGCAGATTCTGGGCTCACAGGAAATCACATTGTATATCCACACAAATAGACACTAGATGAGGAAGGAAATGTCCACTAGTTAAAGTGGCCTGAGAAAGCTCTGTAGCCATTCCCACTGCCCTGGCTAGCCTTCTCAGCTAACTGGGATACAGAGGGTACCAGGAAAACACATACACACACACACACACACACACACACACACACACACACACACACACACGCATGCGCGCGCGAGTCTATCCCTTAGCATTCCTGACATTCCTATGTCAACAGGCCTGAGACATGCTGATTCACACACAAAAAAGATTATTGTGAAAAGAGTGGGGTAGGAAAAAGCCACCCCACATCTTTGTCCCTGGGCAGTTCCTGACATTAGGCAATTGTCTTCCCTCTTGGACACAGCACCATAGTGTTCTTGTGTCCAGAGAATGCCTTAAATAAAAGTGTTGTGCCATGCTGGCAGTGAAGCTGTTGTGGGCTCTTTGGTGTGGTGTCAAGTCCTGAATGCAGCTCACAGCTGAGTGGACTTAGGGGCTGACTTAAACTTCTGCGCTCTAGTTTTTCAGCAATAAACAATTAAGGCTTGGAAATATCTGAAAGCAGCCTGTGACACAGTGATCAGTAAGCAATGGGTTCTTTAAAAAATATATATTTATTCTGATGTGTATAGGTGTTTTGTTTGCATGCATGTCTGTGCCTGGTGCCCTCAGAGTCGAAAAGAAGTTTACCATGTGGGTGCTAGAAGCGGAACCTGGGTCCTCTGGGAAAACAGCAAGTGCTCTTTACCACTGAGTCATCCCTCCAGTCCCTAAGCAGTAGGTTCTAATGATGCCATTATCACGACTCAGGGTCCGTCTCCTCCTGGTCCTCTTCATCATTTATTTCCTTCTGAACCACATATTTTGATCTGGAAACCCACCCCTCCTGTCCACCTAAAACACATTCCATCTCATTTCTGACTGCTACCCTTCCCTTGTCCACACTGTCTACACATTACCCAAATGCCATTATGTTCCACTCTCCTCCTCACCATCGGCACCAAGAGACAGCTCCCGGCTAAGCCAGAGACTATTTCTCAGAAGCACTGATATTTTCAGGCACCAATTTGAACTGACATCTACCTCCATTTATAAGGTGAAGGAACTCCAACTCCTTCACTAAATTTTTAGTTTTGGGCAATGGAGTTTCATTTATGTTGCTTAGGTTGGCTTCATGACGTTCAAGCAGTCCTTGGCCTCAGTCCCCAATGACTACAGGTATATTCCACTTCACCCAGCTCTCCATTTTTTAAAAATGTATTTTGTGCATCCACCCACTTGGCACCCAGCTGCGTATCTCCATGCTCCTCCCAACTAAGCATAAGTCATCAGAATTAAATGGGGCTGCAGGCTGGTCTTGAATGAATTTAGATCCTCCTTCCCCCTGCTCTGTCATGTGTAGTGGTCAATTCTTTTTGGCCTCTGCATTCTCCAAGTGGCAGCTTCTATTCTGGCATCACTGGCAAGCAGAGCAAAGGCACAGTGACTCTGTGTTAACATTGACCACTCCTCCTTAGCTAGCAAAGGTGTGCTGAGCCTTCCAAAGGTCCATGTGTCAGGTGTGTTGGTACTCACCAGTCAGCAATGCATCCAGTTATTAGGTAGCCAAAGATTAATCCAACCAGCAAGGAGAATTTAGCGATATGGACCTTCCAGGCATTATCACACACAAGATCCCACTAGAGAGGGGCAAACAGAAGGTAAATCAGAGAGACGCATACACATACACACATCTAGTGGCGCTCAACTACAAGGACATTACAATAACCCTACAAAGGTCTTGGCATTGCTATTGGGGCCATATCACATGTGACACTAAGAATATCTTCATTAGACTGCTGAAAATCCAATGGGGATTCTAATTTGCCCACAAAATGAAACGTGGTGCTTTAGTCTAAACAGATTATCTACATCTGCAAGGAGTGACACATGAAATCTGCGGACATGTGTGTCTTCTGTTCCCCAAACCACAGGAAACCGAGGGAGAGGAGAATGGCCAGAGAAACTGACAGCCTGGTGACCAGAGTCCTTCACACTCCACGGAGCTGCTGCAATCCAAGTGATGGGAAGGTCTGGCCACATTTCCTTATGGGATGCTATAACAAAGGGAAATGAAAGGCAACATCTGCATTCCCACTCTGTTAGACCGGCTGAACTACAGTCCCAAAACAAAAAACAGTGAACAGTGAAGGCTGAGCTATGAACTTAATATATTCTCACTTTTTTCCTATAAATGCTCTTGTGAATTGTGTTGTAGGACTACCTGCACCACTGGAGTCTCAGACTTAGTCAATTTTGTGCAGTTAAGTTTTGTTATTTAATCGGAAAAAAAAATGAAAATGATCCTCGGGGCTGGGGAGATCATTCAGTTCATAAAGCACTTGTTTATGTGTTATCCTCATACAAGTGTGAGGATCGGGGTTTGAATTTCCAGAACCCACATAAAGCTGGTATGGTAATGCAATCCCAGAGCTCCTGCAGCAAGATAGGAGGTGGAGACAGGGGAATCCCTGCAAGCTTGTGGACCAGAGAGCCTGGCATACACAGTGACAAACGACAGAGAGACCCTGTCTCAAAGAAGATAGGTGAGGACTGGCACCCGAGGCTGTCCTCTGATCTTCATGTGTGTTATAGCATGTATGTATGTATGCCTACTCACACACAAACATTCATGCACATACAAGAGAGGAGAGAGAGAGAGAGAGAGAGAGAGAGAGAGAGAGAGAGAGATCTTTAATGACGATTTTCCTATTTATCAAAATGGAAAAGGACTGAGGCTCACACACAGAGCCCATCTAGGTCAGAGGGACAAGGGAACAGGGAGCGACTAGTGCAATCAGGACTGCATCACCCATCCTTGCTGTTCTGTGTTGCCATCCACCCTTAGTGGCAGAGAAGCCCTTCTGGCTACTGTTACACCTCGGAGCTTTTGACCCCAGGTCAAGGGAGATACAAAGGTGGGAGGGGGTATTGATCTCAGCTGGAGAAATGACCCATCATGGGAAAATTCAGGAATGACAGGACAAGAGGCTGGAGGCATTCAGGAACGGTGAGGATAGGGGTGGAAGGCACGGGCCACAACCTGAACTGCCTTTTTAGCTGTCTCTTTCTTTGATCTGCCTATAGGGAGACGCAGAATGTAATGCCATGCATTCTGGTACCCTCAGGTCTGACTGTTTCCACACTCTGGAGCATCCAATGGAGACCAAGGATGACAGCTATAGGTCTTGGCTTTAGTGGAATTTGGAAAGGACTGTCTGTGTCAGCAATTGCTAAGGAAGGAAAGAACCTGACCTAGATGGAAAAGGAAGGGGGCACCTGTCACTGCTTTGACATCTGCCCAGGACTCCTTGGGATACTTGATTGCCCATGCTCCATGACAGGATCCAGAGGCTTTGAGAGAGTAACACACTCCTTCCTCTACTGAGTTGGCCCCAGATGGTCTGAATCAGAGCCAAAAGATCAAGCACAAGCCACACAAAGGCCAAGAAGGATGGTTTGGGGCTTGTTTTCTAGGTGTATTCATATGTCTAGGGAGGAGGGCCGTTGGCTGCGTGAAATGCCACGTAGGTGGTCAGGTGCTACAGAACCACAGGGACTCCATCACCTGGGAACAAGCAGGAAGTGCAGATTAGGGGGCCCAATCCCCAGTGCTCTGAGGGAAAGCCCAGCAGTGGAGGCTGATGAGCTGTTCCCGTGAGCCTGAACCACATGGACCAACCGTCCTGCTTCTGAGGACGGCCATAAGATCCTCCCCGGCCTTTCCAGGCCACAGTGGAGACAGCCTGTGAGCTTCATCACCCCAGGCTTCAGTGGTCACCAGGATGGAAGAGGCTAATACTCCACACAAACACACATCAGTACACTTCATCTACTCGCTCCAGACAGCTAAGGTGGGCTCTTGAAAGCCAGCCTGGGAAGCCAACATGCACTGATGTTTCTAGAAGAAAAAATTGCTAGTAAACACCTTTCTAATGCCAGGAGGGCAGACTTGGCCTTAAAACATGAGTTACAGCTTTGTCATAACCAAGGTGTGTGTATTCTGTTTTCCCAGCTCCATTTCAACATTCTGGGAGAGGCAGCACCTGTACCCATTCATCGCCCAGCTCCACCACACCTGCACAGACTTCGGTCTGGCATATTCTTGGCAAGCACTAAGCTGGCCTGACCGGGGTTGCTGCCTGGGAGAGAGACACCAGCTGCCATCTCTTCCATTCAGTCTACTTTTAACTACTTTCCCATCTCCACAGACCTCCCATCGATGAGTTTACTCAAGGTTAAATGTTGCAAAAGAGTACATTTATACTTATACTAAATGGCCAGGAGACAGGAGACTTGAATAAAAACATCCAGGGAAGTGGAGAAAATAGTTGGCACTGTCTCCAGCTCAGTCACCTGAGCAATTACTACACCCGGCCTGGGGCAGCCATGACCCAATTTAGTTGCCACCTAATAAGTTGTTCAGTAGTCACCTCAACATGACCCCTATCAATTAATAATGCCAGAGTGGAAAATTAGTAGGACAAGGAGGAAGACTGAACCACTCACACTGGCAATAAGGAAAGGAAGCCTCGTTGGCATCAGTGAGCCCGGCCTCTGTGGGGACTCACCCAGGGACTCACCCACCCTGGGGTGGTGGGCCAGGGAATCCAGGGCAAGACTGCCACCTGTGCCCTACAGCTTCCTCAGCTGGATACGTGTCTGAGTCAGCAAGCACAGTGCCTAAGAGCACCCAGCAGGCTTAGCAAAATAAGGGTTACTCATGCCGGGGAATCCACCTACACCAACACCCTGGTCATGATGGGGCCCACCCTTGAGGCACATTCCATTGGGCTTGGAGGGTAGGTAGGAAGGTGGCAGGTAGGGTGGGAGTGGGGTGAGGGCGGGAGAGGAGGGAATCTATGGAGTTGGCTCCCTCAGTTAACTTCTACCAAAAATGTACTGGGCACATGAGGTGCTGCCTCACACACTCTTATCTTTTTGAAAAATCTACCAAGGAATTTCAGAGGTATGAGGAAGCTCTGGGATCACCTGGCTCTCAAATTTGTTCTCATTCCTATAGATAAGATTATAGTGATTGGTTACTCAGGAAGTTAAACTAAGTTTTTTGAGATTTAAAAATAAAAACGTCTAACTAGAGCAGGGTTGTAAAAAGCCTAAGACCAGGACTTAATGAGCGTGGTTACCGCCCCTCCTCCCTGTCTCCTTCCTCCATCAATCAACCTCCAATACTAGTGGAATGGTGGAAACCTTTCAAGTATATCCTGAACATGTCGCCTGCGTTCCACTGTGGCTATGCCGTCCTAATTTCTAGGGGTGAGGGAGATGCTCACTGGACAACCAACATGGCAGGAACCTCCTTCTGGTTTACGTTCCTGTAGTACAAGCTATAGGGCTAAAAACACTACTTCTGGACCCTTTCAGCGGTTTCAAATATGATTTAGCGTCTGCTAATCAGGTTCACACAACAAAGAACTCTTCATGCTCGTTCTGATCTCAGGGCTGACGAGTTGAAAGAGAACAAATGGTTGGGGAGTGGAGGGACAAGTCCTGCGATGCTGGTCAGATCCAGTAGGGACCGGGTGGTCTCGGGGCCTGAAACTCTGATGACAGCTTTACAAGAGTGGGATCCTAGAGCCAGTGGCCGGGACAATGACTTCCTAGTTTCTAGGCTTCCAGATGAAACAGTGGGCAGGCTGGGGATAAGGTGTTACGCTGAAAATCCTTCGGGAGCTCTGGCCGATACTCCAGAAACTTACGAAAGACTGTTGCCTTGCATTTAATCCCTATCTCCTGCAATGCCCACAGCATGCCTGAGACTTGATTGAGCCCCTTCCTTGACTGAGTTTCCTTGAAATAAAGTTCCCAAGGCAGATGTCGGCAGAACCCCACCCTCCAGACTCCATCTCCTGGAAACCATCCCCTAGAGAACAATGGGAACAGCCCTCTAATGAAGCAAGTTAACACTCCATCAGCAGGTTTAACAGGATCATAAAAGCTTCCGGCCACAGCCCATTCCACCATCCCACTCCGCCACAGTACTCACTTCAGAAGCATCCTGCAATGCCACAGAGGACTCTGGCCCCAGACATAAGGGCACGATGAATGATTTTACACAGCTCACACGACATAGCTAGTTTTTATGTGTTCTGTTCAAAAACTGACTTAGGAAATTTAAAAATTTAGTAGGCTGGATTTACTCATAGATTTAAAGGACAGACTACAAGAAATAGAAGTTGTATCATTTTAAGGCAATAATCAAATTTCTCGACTTGTGAAGAGTGGAGAATAGTCACCAAGAAAACTAATTATGTTTCTGAAGAAGATGGAAAATTGGGACATAGAGAAAACAAATTTCAGTAATAAGGAACTCTCTAACAGAATTTATAAGAAGAATCATTGAAAAGTTGGGAGAAGATTGGCTACTATCTGACCGTGTTAGGAGAAATTTCCTAGAGAAATGACGGGATGGGGCTCGAGAGATGACTCAGTGGGTACAAGCACTGGCTGCTCTTGCAGAGGACCAGAGTTCAGTTCTCAGCACCCACACGGCAGCTCACAATGGTCTCTAACTTCGCTTCCAGAAGATATTGCCTCTTCTGACCTCCATAGGCACCAGACACGTATGTAGTACACACACATCCATACATGAAAGCAAATATTCATACATAGAAAATAA